AAAGAGTCCCGCGCTTGCAGCGCATCGACGGCACGATCACCGTCAGGGGAGTGAAAACAAAACAAAAAGGCCCGGTTCCTTGGTAGGAAACCGGGCCTCTGGGTGTCAGAGATTAGAGGGTGCGCTTAAGCGTCTCCCTCTCCCGGTTGCGTGCAATCCTCGTAGTTATTCCGTGTGGGCATGGATGAACTCGCAAAGGACGGCAGCTGAGCAATTGCCCATGGCTGTCCACCACACTGAGCAGCATGAAAGCCGAGGCCGCGCGCAGTCACGCCGCGCAACTGTGCGGTGTGTCTTGGTAATGCGGCTAGCGGTTTCATGATGGTTTGGGAAGTTGAATTAAGAAAAAGTAACAGTGGATGCAATGTAAAATAAATTAACAGACTGGTCAACATGCTTTGAAAAATAATTTTCGGGGCGTTGCAAAACATACACATGACAGCAGAAAACATCAGCAGGACAAGGCGAAACAACTTCCTCATCATCATCAGGGAGTTCAGCGAAAGTGAGCTTGCATCCGGGCAATCGTCGGTTGGGATGATGGGGCGGCTTGCCGAAAAGCTTCAGATGAAAGCCAGTGCGCTGAGTCAAATCAAGGGTGATGAAACAGCGCGCAGCTTCAGAAATATCGGTGACGCGCAGGCGGCACAAATTGAAAAACTCAGTGGTAAACCTAAAGGGTGGATGGATCAAGCCCACGAAGGTGCCGACTTAAATCCTGCCGAAATCGCATTTCTCGAACTGGCCCGGCAAGCATGGCGAGGTGCAGATGCAAAAGGCAGACGTGCCTTGATGAAGAGCGCAAAGCAGGGGTTTTCAAGCCTGCCAAGCGCATGACGATGAGAATTCGCCCTCATCATGGGCAAGGCAAACCCCCCTCCGCTAAGCGTTCAGTCTGGATATTTCGAACGTTTTCGAGTCGGGGTCCAGCTTGAGCGTAAAGCGCTCGCCTGGTTGAATGCCTAACGCCTCGGCTGACTCTGAAAGATGGTAAATCTGGTTCTGTGCGTTCACCCGAATTCCCCGATACTTGCCGCCGGCATGCGAAAAAGTCCCGACATATCTTCCAGACAGGTATCCAGGTAGATAAAGAACCTTTCTGCCGTTCGCAACAGAGGAGGAAGTTTGAGTCAACTGGATCTCGCCCTCGATTGCAGACACATTAGGGTAACGGTCGTCGAGTTTTGCTTTCCTGATGGCGAGAATCGCCTCTGCGGGTACATCCCATCCGCGTATGCCGTACACACCCGATTCCAGTCTTTGGATAATTGGGGAGGATGACAAAAGGAAACTAACCGTTTGAGTGGAGATGCAAGTTTCAGCAACGAGCGTACGGTTCATCTCGTCCCTTGTGGCCGCGCCACCCTTAGCAGTCAAGAGTTTGAAAGCAGCCAATTCCGTGTTTGAAAGAACTGAGGCTGGATCAATCGGTGCCTTGCTTGTGTAGATGTTGTGTTTATTCGCACGCAGCCAGTCCCAACCAGCAAAAAGAGACGACAAAACGTGCAGGGGTGGGACGGTCAAAGCATGGAAATTGCTCCTGATAAACCATCGGTCATCTGTCATCAATGCGGCTGCGACAGTGTCCAGGTCGGTTGTTCCTTTGCTGACGCTCATAAGCTTTCGCATCCTGTTCGCTGCTGCGCTTGCTTCGCTGTCAGATAGTGTGAACCACCCGGAATCCTCATCGAGGAGTCGAAACCCGGGCGTGTGCTCAAAAACTGATTTGACGCTTTGATAGTCGTAACCAATATGTCCCTGATAGGTCAGCAAACCGGCTATTCGCGCGAAGCTCGTGCAGCCGACGCTCACGCAATCCTTGCGCGCCAGGGACAAGGCCACGTTAGTCCATGCTGCGGAGTCGTTCGCGGAGTAAACCATTGTCAGTGGCCTATACCCCGTGCTTGTCATGAATTTGGATTCTTCAATCCGGATTTGAGTAGCTTTCTTGGCGGCAATGGCGAACTCCAGCGCCGCCTCCAAGCCACCGTCACATCCTAAATACTGCGCTACCTGCAAATTTGCATCATGAAGCGGTATTGGCGTGACCCTGGTTACCACGTCGAAAACGCGATCCAGTGCGGGCATCTGTACAGAGCGGTCCGCAAGAATGGCCAGCTGGGCGTCACAGATTTGTCGAACGCGCTCCCTAGTAATTCCCATGAGCTTACCTACGCGGTCCAGCTCCAGTCCGCTGACTCCCCCATACCGTTTGCAAAAGATCGTCACCCAGCGTTGCTGGGCCTCTAAAGTTGATCGACGGCCGTCCTTTGCCTCCCTGACAAGGTGTTCCGCGATATCTAGAAGTTCTTCGACCCAGCTTGCGTTGTGAGCCTTGAGAAGATCTCTCGCCACTGTGTACGCTTGACCGGAGAGAACAAGTTTGTTCAACTCAGTAGAAAGCCATTCTTTGAATGTACTTTTGCCCACTCGTGGAAAACGCAAATCATCATCTTTGAGGGCCTTGACCCAGTCGGCGTTCAGGCAATCGTTGACTTCGCCTTTAAATTTATCGTCGACTGGTACCGGCGACTGCACCGGTCGTAGGTCTTCGCTTGAAAACGGGCCGGCAACCCAGTTCAGGGCTTCCAGCCTTGCAAGGGCCGAGAGAACCTCCACCACCGGCATTTTGGACTCATCCTTTATTTGCCTGAGCGTTAAATATTCGAATGTGTCACGGTGCTTGAGGATCAGCGGAAGCAGCCTGGCCCGTTCGTGAGATGTCAGGGCCTCCCGCCAATTGTCTCGAATTTCAATGTTGGTGGTGGCCTCCCAGATTTCGGCGAAAACGTTTCTTCTTCCTCCCACGAATAACTCGACAAGTTCTCGCTTGAGCTTGGGACTGGGAGGCTCTGCATATGACCACGCAAGAAGATCGCGCCTGCTTATAGGCCCGATTTTGGAATTCAGGGGCAGTTTTACGAATTGAACCGCAAGGCTTGGCAGGATGCCTGGGTGGCCGGTAGAGGAGGGTGAGGTCACCGAAAAACGAAATGTTGGGTTATTACATTCATCTTCGCGATTTTGCAGCAGCAAATCCTAGCTGTAGATTCCGCGTACCAAAGAAATGACCTCTGATGGTTTGCGATCAGGAGTGCTTGCGGCCATCGCTCTGCAAAAGAGGTCCAGCAGGTAATATGTCACTGCCCTCTTGACTGGGACAGGGTAGGCGTCATTTCTCAAGCTGGTGACGATAAGAATGCCATCTGGCTGATTCCTGAATGTGACTGCTTTGTTGCGATCAGATCCGTGATTGCTGAAGGTCGCCTCCCCAACTATTCCCAGCAAGACAGCGATAACCTCTGGCATTTCTTCTGGCGTCAGTTGAATTGAGAGCTTGTTGTTCCAGTCATACCCGCCGCCGACTTGGGGCTTTGCTGACTCTACACTCACGACGTTGATTCCCAAAAACTGCCCTGCACGCCGATGCGTGCTGATTTCAAGCGTGTGTGCCGCCGTTTTGCCGAACAGACGCACGGACACCCAAGGTTCCTCGGAGCCATGTGTAGCAGCCCTGACACCAACGGGCTCTTGCGTGGGCTCTCTGGTACTGTCTGCAACCCCTTGAGGAGTTGAGGAGGCGCTAGCCTCGAAGAAATCCATGTCCATTGCGTCAGTCGCCACGGTTATGTCCGGCGCGCCATGATCATCTGTCGCTTCGGCGCGATTAAGGCTACCCTGCGGTTGGAAAGAAGTCGCAGGGATAGCTTTTCGTAGAGGAATGGGGAGCATGCTCGTGAGTTTCTCGACATACTCCGGCTTGTCCTTCAACCCCATTACAAAAATGACTGGATCCATGCCTGAATCGATCAGTGACATGCCGGTTTCAAAGAGCTCGACCGCACCGCACTCGATACCTGCCTCTCTGACCTTCGTTGGGATCATTTCGTGAGTGCACGCTGAAGCCCAGGATACGGCCCCGATGTCCGATGGCAATTCAGCACCTTTGCGGCATCGAAGGAGCGTGTCATTGAGCCGGATCCGGGTGCGATCAGACAAGCCCAAAAGGAAATCGTCGAGTCCCTGTGACTTAGGCGCCCGGGTGCCGCGGGAGTTCGATACGTTGCGCCAAAGAACTTTCAGGTCTATCAGCTGGGCAGATGCGAAGCTCATTGAAGGGACAAACTTGGTTCGAAATGCTTCTTGAGTCGCCGGAGTGCTCCAGGGTCTTTCAGACCGAGCCGACGCATGACCGTCGCTTCTGGTGTGCCAATGCTGTGCCAAACCTTGATGCAAGTGTTGCGAAGGGTGTTGGGCCCGATGTGCTGTATCTGTGTGTTTTTGCCGAGGCACTTGAAAAAGTGCGACTTGCAGATGTTGTAAATCGCTTTGGTATCCATCGGCTGGAACCCATTTCCGGAGGCAATTAAATACCGCTTTGCACCATCAGGCGGCACGACGTCCTTACCAATATGCTCACGGCAATACAGCCAGTCAGCCACTGCTTTGCTGGTCCGCTGATCAAGAATCAGGGTACGGCATCGCTCGGGTTTGTCACTCTCGATGGTGAGGCTAAATGTCGGATGGTCTTCG